CTTTGACCCAATGAAATAATCTCAACTGCACAAGTTCAAATAGCCTTTCCACATCAGTCTGATTTCCTTTAAATATCCTTTCATTCCATACCAACCAAAAAGGCCAAATGATTGCAATACAAACAGTCTTCCACCCTACAGTCGTCCCCTTTGACCCTATTAAGTTGCAGAGCACATCCAAGGCTAGACTACAACTCAAAGGAATGGCTGACACAATTCCCCACTAATACAAACATTTCATCCATAGAGCATAACTATTACCACGATGGAAAAATAAGTGGCTGAAGTTTTCCACATTTTGCTCACAAATCCCACACACAACCGGTCAATATTTTCTATAACCCCTCTTTTCCATAAATTTAGTTTGGTCGGGGTCCTTTCTTCTAAGAATAATTGCCATAGTTACCTGTCGGATTAGCTTACCCGTGAAGCATACCATAATTAAGCTAAGTCATTCTGGCAATTTCTAAATAGTAATAATTTTGTGATTAAAAAAAAAAAAAAGTGTTCTTGCATAATCTATGAAATGCATGATTTCATGAGTTGCTTTAACCATGAATATATTTTCATGTTTATGATTTATTAGAATTTATATTCAATAATCAATATATCAATTTCGATTAGACTTCTTAGAATCTGATTTTTCAATTTAATGACGTCGTAACGTTTCTTGCAAATCGAAAATTTTTTTCATATGACTGCACTTTTCAAAATTGAAATGTTGTTTAATTTCTATTCAGACAGAATTTTCTACCTTTCTGATGCTTCTGATGGTAAAGGCAGACTTAAACATATATGTGATCATTAACACTGGGAAGTAGAAATATTGTCAATGCTAATACTATCAGCCATTGATGTGAAGGAAAAACAGTTTTCGTATAAACCTAATTAGTTAAGAAATGTGAAAATTACATATATCTAAGATGCTCTTAATGTGGACATTGCATATATGTGGATGGAGAATGACCCTAAAAAAAGGGTGTTCCTATCATTTTTTTTTTTTTTTGACAAGGGGAATATTGGATTAGTGAGTTAATAGCTGTTCAGTGTCAATGTCGAACCAAGGATCGGGCGAACCCTATCAATTATTATTAATGATAAGATTAAAAGTATCTAATTGAAGTCTTGTATGGCACTCTTGTTGTACCATAATTAAGGTATATATAATGGTGTTTAAGTGAGTAAATGTGATGTACATTCTTATTATACAATTATGATATAATGGTGTATGACGAAATGAATAACTATAGGATACTTTACTTGAAAAAGAGGGTTATACATTTCTATTGTTCAATTAGGTACAATGATGTCTAAATTGAAAAATTCAAAGGAAAAAAAAATTAACATGTTATGAAATGGTGTTTTACTAGCTCAATACTTGACTTCTAAAATCATGATCATGAATCGATGAGCACTTGTGAGAATAAAAGTGATGTACTTGAATAAGCCAGTTAAGATTTGTAGTGGTGTAAGTAAAAAAGTGAAATTAAATTTAGCACCCACTACACCACCAACTAGACCCTCAATAAGCAAAATGAAAAAAAAAACAATGATCATAATCCAAGGTCTAGTGCACACTGAAGGGATGAGGCTTAGCCCACAAAGTCTGTTATCTCCTATGAGGATCTTGAACCCATGATCAGAATTCTACGAGCTAATTCCCAAAGATTGATATAATATAATAATTCTTGAAAAACTGGGTTTTGAATGGGAAAAATGAATCATAGAGAGGATGTTTGTGAAGGTAATCACTCTAGCATCTTGCCCAAATGCCCATCCCTAAGGTATAGATGTACCTCTCTTGCAATGTTGGAAGGCTAAGATCTATTACTCTTAATGAAATTTGTAACTAGTTTTGAGTGTAGTGTCTCAATTGTACAAGCACTGTTGGCGAATTTTACTTATGCAGGTATCCAAGTGAGGCCACTTTTATAAAAATTAAATAGGTAATTTTCTAAATCACTCATGAAAATCAAGATTATGTGCGAAACCATAATACCCTAGTTATGTGAAAAGCTCAACACTTAGATTAATACGTGTGTGATGAGTTTCTTGTATCCTTTAATGGGTCATAGTTTTCAAACCTAGTTGACCATTGACTTTGGAATAGAAATTGCTAAATCACTAAGTAAAGGTTCAAGGTTTAGCAACCTTTATTATGCATAATAAGATATGGAAAAATTGTTATAAATTTGGTATTTTAATAAAAAAATATTATATTTTATAAATCAAATTTATTGTCTTATCAAGAATTTAATCAAACTAACTATTATAGGATAATTATTCTACTTAAGGGTACATTATTTATTAATAATTGCTCAATTTATTCCTATAATTAACCTATAGATGGAGGTTACAAGAGCAAGAGCCCTATAGATAAGACATGTTATTTTGCTCAAATTATGTTCCTTCACATTCTTCTACTTTATTATACTACTCTATTTTTTTAAATATTCTTGAACAAAAAAGGTATTTTGACTTTGGTGATTCTATAAGTAATGTAAATTTATAAAGTGTTATTATTAAGTTATAACATCTTGGAAACGACATGTTTTGTCTATGTGTATATTTCCTAATGCATTGATAGATCTACTTTCACATAAGCATGAATTGTTTAAAATAAATAAACTTTTATCTCAATGAAGATGAGTAATCAAAAAACTGAATGCTTAATTTCATTCTCTCTCTATTGTTTATTTATATTTTCTTGATCATAAGGCTTCAATATGTTTTTGCCTTTTGGGGAAGCTTTTAGTTGGCTTGTAATATAAATTTTCTAGAATCTCATTCTTCCACTGTCTGCATCTATTCATTCCTTTAATGCCAATTTATGTACCTGATTCTATGCCTCGTCTTTCCAAAAAGCAATAGTCTGTCTCTAATACATTCTGCTTAATTGCATTATATTTTGTGTGAAAAGAGTGATTCCATACCCTTTAGCTTTTTTATCATCATATTTACCAAGTACTTAGGCATTGCTTTACAAAAATATTGGGTACTGTGTTCCTTCAATATCCATCCTGCAGACAACTTAACCTTTTAATTTAAAATTTAAAATTTAAAAAAATGATATTCAAAACTTCTTTTGTATCTATATAATTATATTCTTTTCCTTTTTTTGAGGGATATCTATAATGATATTCTTAGTTAGGATTTTCCTGCTTCAACTTTATTTATGTTTTAATTGTTACTAAATGAGACCCAAAAAAAAAAAAAAAAAGTAATGTACCTTGATGCTAGACTATCTATGAAACAGGAGCAGGGGAACTTTTGACTTTAATTAGCTTAAGTGTTGCACACAAGTGTTGAGGCTTGAATATCAAGTATGTCTGCATGTGTTTCCCTTGATTCCCTTTTAAAATATTTGATTAGGAAGACATCAACTTATAAATATGCTAAATTGATAGAGCATAATATCTCCCTAACTTTGTTAAACTGCACAAGTCATCAGCCATGCTGGTCATAAGTAAGTGTTTCTTCATTATCATTATATCCATGTTAAACTACATTCTTTAATTTGATATGTTAATCAATATGTTATTGCATATTCTTTCTCTTTATATATAATATGAGGAGTGATCCACTTATATATATAAACTTTATGTATTACATTTAAACAAAATCTTAACTAATCATCTGTTCACTTTTAATAATTGAGATTTATTATAACTTTTTAGATGAAAAACAAATGGTCTTTAATAAATATAAATAAATCTTAACTATTGAAAGTGAAAAGATAAATTATTGAGATTTAGTATAAGTGTAGTATGTAAAACTTGTGTATAAGTGAATGTATACTCATATTTGATTATATAACATTTTTGGAGATGTTCTCTTGAGCACACAATGACCACTTAAATAAAACTTTTAATCTAATGATTAATTTTTAAAAATGTAAATTTAAATATAACATTTTTAGAGATGTCCTGTTAGGCATGTCAACACTTTTACACACGCATACATATATATAATGAAGCTCGTTCTCTTAAATTTTTAAAGCATCTATATACCATAATC